AGGGGAGCTTGGGGCCTGGCTCCAGGGGGCTTCCGGCTGGGTCTGCAGTCAGAGAGTGAGGTTAGCACATGCAACTGCAGTTTTTCAGGGATTTAGGGGTACCGGGGACTACTCGATTCTTTGCTTTCTTTGTGTGAGTGCTGAGAAATACTAGAGCGAAGAGACAGTAATGACATTAAAAATAGCTTCCCTGGTCAAAATGTTGGAAAATAGAGATGAAATGGTCAGGGGTCAGCCTCTGGCATGCTACAGGCCTCTGCCTTCACATTCGATGCATAAGATGGTCAGGTGGCTCAAAAGCCTCCTCCCACTGTCCCCCTTGAGCCAACATCCGAGTGCCTTCTTCTGTGGGGCAGCTCAGAAGCCCTGCACCTGGGTCATGTCTCCCACCCAGCCTCAGAGCATCCCTTCCCATCTGAGGCTTCTTGTCTGCCTGGGCAGGTGGGGATGGAGGAGCTACATCTGGAGGATACAAAACCATCCAGTTGGTGGGTCAGGCTGATCCATTTTTCTACCACCTGCTGTGCCTGGGCACCTGTGGCAAGGCTTCCTTTCCCCTTCTAGAATTTCTCTTGTCTATTTCACTCACCAGGGAAGTTCTGAATCTCACCTAACCATGCAAGGTCAGCAGGGAGGAACTGGGTCTATGCACAGCACCCAGCAAGGTCCTGCTTTAGGCATTACACTTGGGCCCTGACATGGATTTTACAAGAATCTCACCTTCTGAGCAGCCCTGGGCTTCCCCCTTTCCCCCGTCTTCAGAGTCCATGTTCACTCTTGAGTTCTCCTCCAAAAGGGACATTTTCAATGCTAATGTGATAACTCAACAGGAGATGGGATGAGTGCAGGACCTGAGCAGACAGGAAGAGGATCAGTTACGGCACCTTCTGACCCCAGGACACCTTGCTGGATGTTTCTCATGCTACACAGGCTGACGGCGTGCTCTCTGCTAGGAAATTCTCACTGCATCCAGGAAGGCCCCATGGGGCCAGATCATGCTCTTCTGTCTATCGCTCCTCCAAGGCACTGTTTTCCAAACTGTGGGTCACAGTACTAACATACGGGTCACGACATCCTTTTAGTGGACCTTGACAACACTTAATAAAAATGAAGCAGAATAAAAAGGTTCAAAGTGCATTGCTCTAGTCTTATGGCTGGCAAACTATGGCCCAGGGGCCAAATCTGGCACACTGCCTGGTTTTTGTTTACGTAGATTTTTATTAGAACACAGCCGTGCTCTTGTTTACATATTGTCTATGGCTGCTTTCAGGCTACAATAGCAGAGTTCAGTAGTTCACAGATCATTTGGGTAGCAAAACCGGAAATACTATCAGAGCCTTTCTATAAAAAGTTTGCTGACTCTCTGCAGTAGCTGATCTTTGCCTATAAAAGGCAATTTCTTTGCAATCTCTTGTCATGGAAAACTGAGCCTCCGATTGTCCCAGGAGACAACTACTACCTTGGGCTGACACACAATTTAATTCATTGAGAGGGAGTGAAGGAGAGAGATTTATAGATACCCTCCAATTTTCATGCCCTATCCCAGTTGACAAAGAACATTCCTCAACACTAGTCCAGGTAAACACATTGAAGGAAGTGGGGCAAATCCCATTTCACAGATGAAATATCTGAAACTAAGTGACTTTTCCAGAGTTCTGCCACTTTTAAGGTTGCAGAGATGGGCATTTTGTGTGGAAAACCAGTCTCTGAGAATGGCTTAAGAGTGGGACAAAGGGAACTAAATTGTTTTGCAAAAAAATATAAGTGACAAGGAAAGGCTCTAGGGCTCAGCAGCAAGGAGAGGGAGCAGAAGAGGAAGGAGACCCCCGGGCAGTTCTGGGGCTTGGGTAGAGCTGCTGGATCTTTAAAGGCAGGGATATCTACTACATGATGTTAAGTTGTTTTGTTGTTTGGGTGAATCCACAAAGCACAACTGCCTTTGAAGTTTGGGGGTAAATCAAGGAACACAGAGAATCGGTGGACTTTATAAGACAGAGATTTTAGCAGTCACAGAACATCAGAACAAGAAATGTCTGGCAGAGATGTAGGTATCCAAAGACATGAAGATACTGGTGGTGCTGCTGGAGGACAGAGTTCTGCCCACAGGCCTGAGGACCTGGGGATAGGTGATCTATATCTATATATTTATATCAAGATAAATTCGGATAGCTTCCACAGAGCTCCCTAAAGAGGCAGTGCATCCGGACATCTGAGACCCATCTCTTTCTACCTAAAAGTGCTCGATGTATTGGGTTCCAAAATTTCTTCTGCAAGAACAGTACTGTCTAAACTCTGAAATCAGTCTCCTCAGCCTTCAGAGAAGGTGCAAGAATCACCAGTCAGGGTTTTCAGATTTCCCAAGCCAGCGTCTGCCTGGTCCTCCAGCAATGCCCTGCTTATTGGTGGGCATAGCCCTCCTGGGAGACAGCAGACTGCTATTGGGGCTGAGAGGAAGGTGGTCTGGGCAGTCTCAGAAATGACATTTAGAAATTCAGGAAATCCATAGAGGGACATGATCTTACTGGGGAAAAAAGCAAGTCGGGTAGCTGGACACTGCTCTGCCCCCCACCCATGTCAGTTGGCCTCTAACACCGGGGGTGAGGACCACCTACCTGGGCCAGGGATCCCCGTGGTCTGTGGCTCCGTCTTGGATTCCTGGACCTCTGTCTGTCTCCTGCTTTTAGAATCTCTGATATGTGGGAGCCAGGTCTGGACCTCACTTGAAATAATCAGTCTGGGAATGAATATGCAAATGACATGGCAGCCCTCCCCTATCTAGTAGCAAATGGCACCCTGGGTCATCAGTCATCACTCATGGCCTGTTGTTTTCCAAGCCAAGGAAAACTTGCTGTGTCAGTCTGCCGAGGGCTGTGCCACGTCCATTCAGCACATTTCAAGGCACTTGAGAAAGACTGTGTGGCTGCCGGTCCAGTACGACAGCAAAGGTGTAGGGAACAGGTGTGAGTGGAGCAAAGAGCAGACTCAGGGTCTAGGTCAGCCAGTGAGCCCGGGAGGTTCAGGGAAGTCCTTTTTCTCATGTTGGTTCTGTGCCCTGATCCCAGAGTTCAGGCAGGTGGAGTCCCCATGTCCCATAGAAAAATGTCCTCCTTAATTGCTGCAAGGTTTTTCATTGCCTGTCTAAAGACCTAAGAAAATGTTGTTCCCTTGATGGCCAGAATAAAAATCCCTAATTTTCCTGTTAAATTTCTAAGAAGGAAAGACTTATCTTTGGAGAACTTCTTGATAAATCTCTTGGGATAAAGACGACATTGTGAAGGAAAAGATGAAGTAAAAACAGAATAGAGTCAAAACAGCCACTAACTTGCCTTCTAAGGAAGGTGGCAGGTGGGGTAGCTGCAGGCACTTCTGTAGTTCTGACTTCTGGATGAATGAGGATGCGCCAGTGTGGGGGGCAGCCCAGACCTGATCGTGGGATGGGAAGGAGATGCGTGGGGAGGTGCTGTTCTGGAGCAGGTACAGATTTGTAGAGGTCATGCCCAAGTGGTTCCAAAAAGGAAGGGAAATGAGAGAGAAGAATGTCTACAGCAGAGGGTGCTGTATAGTATAGTGTGGAGCCTCAATATAAACTCTCACCTGTGTGCCCCATCAAAACCTCAGTAAGTTTGATTATCTGTACCAATACTGATGCAGAAGGGATGCCATTTGTTTGTTTGTTTGTGGATGAAGAGAAGAAAAAACAACTAACTTGTGGACCACATGTGAATGGATCATAATTTAACTAATCCCTAATTTTGAACATTTGAGTTTTACTTTTACACTATTGTGTGTGTGGGCATGTGTGTGTATGTTTGTGTGTGTATGTGTTTGTGGTGTGTGGATTTTGGAGGGTCCAAGTACATATGTGTGTATGGTTTTCTGTGGGTATGCTTTGTGTATCTTGTGTGTTTCTGCTGCTGTGCTTGAGAACCACTTCTCTGTAGAAAATAAATTTCAACACCTTAAAACCAGTTGCACCCCAAGAGTGGCCTTGAGAAGGACTTGGGGTCAAGGATGATGAATGAGAACACCACCGAGGAGCATATGGCACTCGCCTGAGTGGGAAATGGTGACGGCCTGTGTCAGGCTACGGTAGGAGGGAAGCAGAAATAAAAGGAGGGAACAGATTTCAGAAATAATTAGGAGGTAAAAAAATAAAATGTTAGTTCTAGAAATGCAACTTTTTAAAAATAGCATTTTCTGGTCTCACCCAGATCAATTGAATCAGAATCTCAGGGGGGTGGGGCCCAGGCATCCATAGCCCTGAAATGTCACCCACCAGGTGATGCCCAGCACATGGCCAAGCTGCAGACCACTGCCTTAGGCCATGCCACTCAAAGACTTGTCCTCAAATCAGCAGCATCGACAGCTCCTGGAGCTGATTAGAAAGGCAGAGCCTTCGCACCACCCAGACCTACTGAACCACCATCTGCAGGTGATTCATTGCACACGGAAGTGAGAGATTGAAAGACTTAGGGTTAATCTATTCCGATGGCTCTCAATTGACCTGCACCTGCCTCATGAACTCAGATGTCTGGGGGTGGGGCCCAGAAAAGCTCCCCAGGAGATTCTGATATAAGCCATGGCTGAGAACCACGGATCTTATCTGACCCTATGTCATTACAGGGTTCTTAGGATCTTGCTTGGGGCCAGTCGTCCATTTCACAAACACAAGTGTCCATGATGCTCTAGGCGGGGGCCATGGAGGATCACAGGCAAGTCAGACAGGGGAGCTGCTCCCGGGAGCTTACAGTGCCACAGGGCGATGAGACAAGGATGCCAATACCTGTGTGCAGGGGAGTGATAAGCGTGAAGTGCTGCGGCAGCCGGGGAGGAAGCCATCCCACGCAGAGGGGCTGAGCAGGCGCAGGGAGGAGGGCAGGAGAGCCGGTGGTGCAGGAGCATCCTCCCCATTCTCTGGGCAGGAGGACGTTCCTCCAAGACACCAGCCAGAGGCTGTGTGCCTACGGCATGAGAGGAGAATGAGAGCTTAGAATTATTCTCTACGTCATAATGGCCTGTCACAGATACCTGTATTGTAGCGTCACACAGCGTGGTGGTTACTGTGTTATCATATTACCATATTTCACATTTCACAGCCACCCATCCCTGACAGTCACTGGCCCGGCATGGAGACTCCTGGCCTCCTCAAACAGGTGCCTGAGCTTCTTGCTGAGGGACGGGTCATCTGCCCAATCAGAGGCCCATAGGGGAGGTTCCCTGTGTAGGACCCAGTCAAGGCAGGACTGGTTGGCATGAGTTTAAGAGCCCACGGTGTGAGGAATGCCCTGGCTCCTGTTGCGGCTGGTCCTGCCTGCTTAAAGAGGTTCCTTCAGGGCTATGGCTTTTCGAAAGCACCTCTGCAGAGCCAGCTCAGTCTTGCACCACACTGGGCTCCTGGCGCTTCCTGCCTCTGTTCCCCACCCACCCTTTCCGCTGTTCCTCCCTTGGACCAGCCAGTGCATGGACCTGCCTCTCCCCAGGCACTGCTGGTGGCATGATGTCCTCAGTCACAGGGTGCAGGAAAGAGGGTTAATGAAAATAACAACATCAATGCTTTTTTTAAAAAATTACTTTCTCAGTGGTTCAGGCACCTTGCTAAATACTGTTTATTGAGAAACTATTTTAATTCCAGGAAGAACCCTATTCAGTGGGCCCTATTCCAGTCCTCATTTCACATGTGAGAAGCCTGAGGTTTGAAAGGGTTTAGGAAGTTGCTTCAGGTACCATAGCTGAATAGTATTAAGTGAGAGAGCTCAGATTTGAACCATC